ATTAGAATTCTTCCGAGTAATTAAGAAACTAGTTGTATTATAAAAGTGTGTATGGATAAGAATTTCTTTCACATTTTTGAGATACATTTAAGCATAAGAATACAAAGAGAGAAAACGTTAATCTGAAAAAGTAAACATAGATTCGTGCCAACTTCCAAATTTGTCGAGTTGGTCAACTCTAACTTCATCTAACTCGAAATAGCATACAATTAAATATATTTTTAGTAAAAGAAAAATAGAAATTTAACATGTTGTCCACTTGGTTGCTAACTTGATCATCGAAGTGATATAACCATTAAAGCATTACCTTTATCTCTACATGCCCAGCTCACTTATCGACGTTGGATCTCTCATGTTTTGACATTTTTCAGATCACTACACAACACAAGATGCAAAGCAAAATCTACTCCTAACTAAAGGTTGTGAACAAAGTCTCTACAAGGGGCAAATGTTGGGAATTGTAAGTGAAATTTAATCTGTTTTAATCATTAAGACTCGAACTTATAATGTCGCTAGTTAAATGCATACTTCAATTCTAATTTAACAAACCTAATTCCCAGTTAGGTGTGAGGCCCGGTGCTTCAGTCTAGAATTCTCAAATTTATTTTCAACCATACAATTTCTTGATTTTTATCAAAATTTACTAAAAACTTGATTTTTATCCCCACCAAACTGGGGAGATGTCATGTTAAATTATGAAGGACAAAACAAAAGATTCATCCATCCATGTCATATTGTTTTGTTGGAATTGGTGATAGATTTTTTCATGAAAATTTTCCATTACCTTTCTATTGTCAACCATATGACATTGGTGAAATTTTAAAAGTAAAAAATTTCTTACTTGTCACAGCTTTGAACATGTACTTTTGACTTTAATTGTCTTGAATTTCATTTGTTATCGTCTCATCGTGATATCGATCAAATAGAGCATTTGACATTGCATTCGAGTACAGTGCTCAACCAATTTCGTCAAAACAATAAGAATCACAAATTTGGACACTTGTACAAGGGACTGGCCTCAACTTTGCTACTGTTACAAAACGGAGCTTTTTTCCACGGAACCTATTTGTTACAAAAGAGTAGAGGAACCGGAATAAAAAATATTTGCCATGACATGGTGATGGTTTGTGCACCCTCTTGTTAACAAAAAGTTCGACATGGCACATGGGCCGTCACAATTAGTATTTGTCACGGGCTCGCCACGATTTATATTTTGTTGCAAATAAGATGTCGTAAATGATAATTATATATCACGGCAAAGAGCAAAGGTAAGTAGTTGGTTTCGCCACGGTATGTTGCCATCATAAATAATTTTCGTGGAGTATTGACTTAGGCAGCATGATCGTGGTATAAACTCTATTTCCCATGGCTGCCGTTCTAAATTAAGTACATTTCGCTTAAAATATTCATTACAGCATGTTACTCCTCGCCTTAGAGGCTCGAAGACAATGTGCCACGTGGTGAGCCATGTGGGCAGAAAGTCAACAAGAGAGTCAAACGAAGACCCATGAGGTCAAAATTTAAAGAGGTCAAATAAGCCGAAGTCCTTGCTCTTCAAGCCGAAGTACTTGCTGAAGCGGACCTCAAAGGCCGAAGTCCTTGCATTGCAAGACCAATGTCCATGTTGAGGCATCGCCTCAAGGACGAAACACTACAACTTGGGTTGAAACACAACATAATGAAACAAAGAAAGGAGCTGAAACTCTCCCCTTAGAGAACCACCTCAAAGATCTCTCCGAGGCTCTCAAACTCGTTCAAAGCTCATGAAGTCGATGATATCTCTTGTAATAGATTTGAAGATATATTAGAAGTGATTGATGTAACACTTGTAATAAAGTTTGTCAATATGTCAGTCTATTATATAGGGCGACTGACCATTTATCAATGTATTAATTGTATGAATAGACAGTGATGTGAAGCTTTAATTTGGGAGATGAGGTCACATGGTTCCGATCCAACGGTCACCACATCAACCAATGTAGTATAAATAGGTCATCTTCGTAATAAAAAGGGGGATGGTTGATTGATTAAAAGGTGGACAATAATATATTCGAAATATACACTTGAACTCTCAATTTCATCTATCTTTCCACATATTCTTTTTTGTTATTATATAGATTAGTTTGATTTCTGTCCGGAAATTGTTGTTAGTGCTGTTGCTTTCGTTCCACCTACTAGAACTAGAACATTTTTGTCTATCGCCGTAAAGTGCCTCTCGCTTCCATTTCCTCATTGCTATCGTCGTTACTCCGGTAGGAACGCGCCAGTATCGTACTTGACTTGACGAAAGTGAGCCTGACATCTGTTGATTCGTTTTTTGGGGTCAAAACAGTGTTTTGAACTTTATTCTACTAATTTTAAGGTTGTTAACATTCTACTAACATTTAATAAAACTTTTGATGGTGATAAAAAACCTATTTAACACGACCTTTTAAGCCATCTCACCAAATGTTCTAGGCTTTTTTTTTTTTACCACAGACAACATCCAACAAATAATTTTCTTCTTTTTGTTTTTAGTTTCCATTTTTATCCCATTCCATCCATTTGACCCGTGAAATATAGAAAATAACAATAGGTAAATGCCCAGAAAATTCAAAACTATATTGACTTAAAGAAGTAACTAATCAATAATAATTCCAAGGAACATTCTAAATAATCTTTATAAATGACAAAAATCAGCGCAAGTGGATAATCAGATATGTAAAAGTAGTAATGTTGACACACTAAAAGTGCAGCCCAAATTAAATAATCCAAAGAGTGAGGCCCAATTGGAGAGTTCAGGATAAATGCCCAAATAAGATTATTGGTGAATGCGGAGGAAGCCCATGAACATAGTAATATCATCGTCCAAACCTGCAAGACGCCTAGAATTTGATAGAATGGAGTACATTAGGTTTCCCAGAGCGACAACCTTTTTCTCGTCCGAACTTTCGAGTTGCCCAGAATCTCAATATATGAGACATTATAGTCATCCAGGATAACAGTTACTGAAACGGTTATCGAGCAGATTATCACATTCCACGATTTAAGGAGTCCATTTGAAGGCAGTTGAATGACAAGAGTAATGACAGCAGTTAGAGGTGGCTGTTCCATGACAAGTTAGCCACCATGAAAAAAGTGGATAGTTAGAAGGCAATCAACAGTTTCCAAACGGTTTGTCACGAAAAAATTATCATGGGAATATAAAAGGAAGAAAAGACACGGAGAAAAGGACCACAAATCAAATACTCTCAAATAGAGAATATGTAATTTCAATTTCTTAGGTTAACTTTAATTATCCATTTTCAATACTCATGTATTTGCGCTCCATGGAAGCATTCTGTTTATTTCCAATTGTAACTCTCATCAATAAAGCACCCCCTTTTGAGACTTTGTCTCAAGAGGTTTGTCTCTTACACAATCGTCTGAATTTCTTTTTTAATTGTTAGCGACTACCCGTGCGAAACAATTTGGCACGCCCAGTGGGACATTGGTGTTTAGTGTTGAAGATACAAAAAGNAATTTCTTTTTTAATTGTTAGCGACAACCCGTGCGAAACAAGTAATAACTCTTGCAATTTGTCTTTGCGCAAGATTAACGGAAAAAAAAAAAAAGAAAAGAAAAGAAAAAAAAGGCTCCACCATCTATGTTCTTGATTCCTCTCTTTTTCCATCTCATTATCTTCTTCTTATTTTTTTAATATTTTCTCTCTCTTCTAGAATAATCTATAATTAACTCGACATAAAATGAAAAAGTCACGTGCAAGAACAAACAAGTATAAAGCACAAAATAATATTGCAAATGTATAACAACTCATTCCGACCCAGCAATATAATGTTGTACCTAATTATTGTCATCAAACGAAACTTAAAATTGAATGTATTCATAACTGTAGATCTGTTTTTAAATCTGGTTTTGTATGTTTGTATAGTTGATTTTGGTGGTGGCAGTGTCGGATTGACTATTTTGGTGGCTATAAAATTGTTTTGATTGGTTTGGCATCCGATTTTATCTACCGGTGATGCGGTTGTGATCGAGGTAACAACATAATATGTTAAGTAATTGTTGACGGCTGTCATGGCAGAAACAGTATAACATACATTAAAAGTGGCGATGATGACTGGTAGGAAGTGTTACGGCCATGACCGAGGAAACATGCTACGTTACATAGTATTATACGTGTAATACGGTTTTACACATGCAACACGATGTGTTATAAAGTTAGTGTAAAGAAATAATATAATATAATATAAAGAAAAGAAAAGAAAGGTTAGGTAGTGCAATATATATAGTGTAAAGTTCCTAATTATTATCATTGTGCTCCGTCCTTCAATTATTATGCTCACTAACTTAGAACGAATCCTTAAAAGTTTATTCAAAAAATGATCTTATATGATCTCGAGACTTCACCATTCAATTATGTCGAGTTTAAAATGTAGTGTACAATGATTATTACAACTATAATGCTTAAATACAAAACTCTCAGAGTGTAAAAAATCGGACCAACCGACACACACACACACACACACACACACACACACACACACACACATATATATGTTGATATCCGACCTCACCAGGTTGCTCCAACCTGGGGGATAACATTGTTATCTGACCTCACCAACGGCTCCGACCGAAGGGTAATCCGACCTCACCAGGAGTCCTCATTAAGTACAGTTGATTACATTCATTAAGCTCATACTATTATGAGTTCGAATACGTGAGGTCAGCTCGGTTTATAGAGGCTTAAGGAGACATAATGATAGAAGATTTCTTACACACTGTCAAACATCCAATCAATTAAATACATTTGAAAAGGCTCATGACAGCACTTCCTAAGTTCACCAATCATGTGTCTTAGCTTCCTTCATGAAGTAATTCATTAATTACGGCAGACCACCTCTAAAGTTAAAACTCATGGTGGTCTGACAGAGTCGAGCTCATTAAACCAATCCAAATCTGCCCATTGTTGATGAACTGAGCTCTAAGGTCGGACAAATCAGATTAAAGCACGTACGCTCTACAGTGTGCGTTCGGCTCGGATGGTTGGCATACCTAGAAAGATCGTGTAGTCTTTTAAGGAGGTTCTAATGATTACAAATCACTGACACAATCGATACCCCAGCCAATTAGAGAAATCCACAGAGAATGATTTTCCGTCAGTGCTTACATAAGCCTTGATCAAAGAGTTAGGCTCCCTTCCCAAGGCTTACTTCATTAATTGCTAAAATCCACCTATAAGATTTGCTCATCATGACTGTCAGATCGAGCTCGGAGGCCAATGGAATCATTACATCGTGNGAAGGGTAATCCGACCTCACCAGGAGTCCTCATTAAGTACAGTTGATTACATTCGTTAAACTCATACTATTATGAGTTCGAATACGTGAGGTCAGCTCGGTTTATAGAGGCTTAAGGAGACATAATGATTGAAGATTTCTTACACACTGTCAAACATCCAATCAATTAAATACATTTGAAAAGGCTCATGACAGCACTTCCTAAGTTCACCAATCATGTGCCTTAGCTTCCTTCATGAAGTACTTCATTAATTACGGCAGACCACCTCTAAAGTTAAAACTCATGATGGTCTGACAGAGTCGAGCTCATTAAACCAATCCAAATCTGCCCATTGTTGATGAACTAAGCTCTAAGGTCGGACAAATCAGATTAAAGCACGTACGCTTTACAGTGTGAGTTCGGCTCTGATGGTTGGCATACCTAGAAAGATCGTGTAGTCTTTTAAGGAGGTTCTAATGATTACAAATCACTGACACAATCGATACCCCAACCAATTAGAGAAATCCACAGAGAATAATTTTCCGTCAGTGCTTACATAAGCCTTGATCAAAGAGTTAGGCTCCCTTCCCAAGGCTTACTTCATTAATTGCTAAAATCCACCTATAAGATTTGCTCATCATGACTGTCAGATCGAGCTCGAAGGCCAATGGAATCATTACATCGTGTGTAATTTCTCAGCTCGGAATTGCAGGTGACAAGATAGGAAATTAATGAAGCATGTATCTTTTCTCCTATAAAAGAGAAAATAATGAAGAAGAAGGATATACAACTTCTACACATGATAACTCTCCCGACATTATCTATATTTCATGTACCTCCTTTGACAAGAAACAAATTAAAACACTTGTAGTCTACTCTTGTAATTTACAAGTCATTATCAATAAAAATTCTCATTTATGCTCTAAGTTGGCTTGAATTTTGTACGTACAATTTTCGACGTCAACAATATACAAAAATGGTTTTTAAGACAAAAAAAAATTCAAAAATTAATTCATAGGAGCGTAATTAAACTCTAAAGAAAGAAAATAAGAAGAAGAAAAAAAAAAAGAGAAAAATGAAATCCGATGCAATTGAAAACACTTTCTCCTTAAAACAATATTGCCCCGCAATGCTGTTAACGAACTACGACGTTTGTATATCAAGATAAAACGGATACAACTTGTGTTAGAAGCACTTCAAACCATAAGTAATAGCGAACTAAGAAAGAAATCTTCTCTCTACACTAAAATAATTTTGAAATGACTTTTGAAGAGTATTTTGCAAAAGTTTTTGATGTTATGCTCAATGCAAATGATATGTGATATATAATGGACGTTCAAAGGGTCTTATCTATAGAAGATGAAATGTTGTGAGTGAAGTGCACACAAATTATTTAATTTGGTTACCGGTGTATGCATTTTTTTTTCTTTTTTATTTATTTAATTATTTAAAGGGATAATTTGTAAGTTACTATTTTGCCCTTTTTAAAATATTTAAAATGTGGTCAAAATTAAATTTTTGATCAACTAACAGAATTATAGATGGAAACTGTTCAAAAGGGCTTCACTTGCAACATTTGAAAATATTAGGTGTGACGGCTGTAACAAATCAAAAATTTGGGAAAAGTCTACTAATATTTCAAAAGTTTGGGACTTTTGCTGCAATTATCCCTAAAAATATTGTCAAAATTATCAATCTGCTATAAAATCGAAGCGAAGCGAAGCCAAGCCAAGGCATAAATACTCTACAAGTTACAGTTCCAAAATGGTGCATTGCCATATCCTCCTTGTGTGTTTTCCAGCACAAGGCCATATAAACCCATCCCTACAATTTGCGAAGCGCCTTTTGCAATTGGGAGCCAAAGTTACCTTCTCCACCAGTGTATCTGCAATTCGTCGCATGTCCCAAGTTGCCTCGACAATACCAGACCTGACTCTGGCTCCTTTTTCTGATGGTTACGACGATGGTTGGACCAGTGCCCCTGATGTCCAGGCTTTCATGTTATCTATCAAAACTTTTGGCTCTGAAGCTTTGACAAATCTTATCATGGCTAACGAAAACGAAGGCCACCCGTTTACACATATGGTGTACTCTACCCTCGTTTCATGGGCAGGTGAAGTGGCAAATCAGCTTCAAATCCCATCCACGCTTCTTTGGAATCAACCGGCTACTGTTTTTTATATTTATTACTTGTATTTCAATAAGAACGAGATTTTTACAGGAGAAAACAATGAAATTATTGAACTTCCAGGAGTGCCATTAGTGCTTAGTTCTTCTGATTTGCCATCCATTATGCAGCCTTCAAGCCCTGCTGTATACAGTTTTGCTCTAACTGCTTTCAAAGAGCATTTTGAGATTCTTGATAGAGCTGGGACCAAGCAGAAAGTACTTGTGAACACATATGATGCATTGGAATTCCAAGCCTTAATGGGTATAAAGAAGTATGATGTGATGGGCATTGGACCTTTGGTTCCTTCTGCATTTTTAGATGGGAAGGATCCTTCGGACACCTCATTTGGAGGTGATCTCATACAGAAGACAGTAGATTACATTGATTGGTTGAATTCGAAAGACAAATCATCTGTGATTTATCTTGCTTTCGGCAGCTATTTCAAATTTTCAGAACAACAAATGGAAGAGATTGCTAAAGGTCTTATCAGAAGTCAGAAACCATTCTTGTGGGTGACTAGAGCCGACAACACGCTTGATTACATGAAAGAAGTGGAAAAACAAGGTTTGATTGTACAATGGTGTTCCCAATTGGAGGTTTTATCAAACCCTTCTGTGGGCTGTTTTATGACTCATTGTGGGTGGAATTCTTGTATTGAAAGTTTGGCTAATGGGGTGCCAGTAGTGGCATTTCCGCAGTGGACTGATCAACTTACGAATGCAAAACTTATACAAGATTTTTGGAAGACGGGACTGAGATTGGCTGCTGCAGATGGAGGAATCGTAACTGCAGAAGAGATTGCGAGGTGCTTAGAAATTATTATGGGAGGTGGAGACAGGGGAGAAGATATTAGAAAGCAAGCTCAACATTGGAAAATTCTGGCTAAGGATGCAGTTAAAGAAGGTGGTTCTTCCAATGTGAATCTTAAGATTT